TCTTCTGCTGCATTTATATTTTCTAACCTATATATCTTTGTATCTTTAGGTTATCTGTCAGTATAGTAACCAGCTGAGCATATGAGCTCCTGAACAGTTTCTCAAAGAGGGGAACTTCAATGAAACTCAACGCTGTTAGTGGGCCTGTATACCTCTCTCAGCTTGGTCTAGCTAGTTGCCATGTTTTATTGAGATTTATTACACAAGAGGCTTAGTCCCAAAGACACATATTGTTAGATGCTATGGAATAAAAAACCAAAAAACACCCTTACAAGGCAAACTAAAAGGATTATTTTCCGCAAGTCAGCAGATGAGAAACTGAGTATCTGAGACAGGTACAGAGTTACATACTGAAGTGATGCTTTTCTGTTTCTCATTTTTTTTCTCACAACTTTGCATCTTACTGTCTCTGTGCTTTATATGAATGATGTTACTAGGATTTTAACTTGAGAGGTGTGTGTGATGTACCAGCGCTGTGAATCAGCAGGGGGCACTATGTGCCTATAAACCTACGTAACTGTGAATTAACATGCGGAGTGACACCTTGGTGAAGTTCGCACAGTTACTCCAAGGTTTAGACGGTTTAGCTGAGGGAATATCTGTGCTCATTCAGTGATGCAGGGAGTGCACCACACCATCTCGTTTCTTCCAATGAAAGCTGACTATATTTATAAGATGTTTATACCATAAAAAAATGCATGGATCATTGGCACCAAGGGCTTCAATTCACAATACCGCAACCCACTTGGGCGTTACCTGGGTACATAACGTTTAGGGGAGCATGAAGTTGTGCCTGCAAAAGCAGACTGTCTCTTGAGATCTCACTCTGCATTGAGATAACAATGATATTTCCTGGCAGATCGTGTCCTTTCTCAGCTAGCCATTCTTTCACCCAAACAGGGGAAAATGTGTGGGATCCAGTTCCTATGCCCTCTCAGGTGCTGGCGCTGCTATTCCAGGAGCTACTGATATTCAGCTGACATGCTGTGTTTTTTTCCCCTGTACTAACCCACTTCTTACATCAGCTATTTGACCTGAAGCAGAGCTGATGTATGCAGAAGGTTTATTTCTATACTACTTACTTTACATGGGTCCAGCATAACTAAGCCAAACACTAGTTGATGTGAAACAGATGGATGAGAAAATCTATTGGGAATTGTAATATTTGTGACAAACACTGGATTCCTCATTTCCCTGTTTGTTTATTCCTGAGGCAGTTGGATTGCATGAGTTTCCTTCCTATAGTTTCAGCTTTTTCTGTGTGCTTTAGCCCATACTGCAGCAACAGCCTTTGTGAGCAGCAAGTGGCCCATACAATATTGGCAGTTAGACCTCCAGCTGCTGATGCTGATGCTCTGCTTTTGGAAGCATTGCAAGTCGCATTGTGAAACAGTTTCTAAAAAATATATATACATGTATTAAATACCCCTAAGCCCTATAAACAAATAAATAAATAAATAAAAAGGTAAGAAATACTTCTGAGCATTATAGTGCTGGTGTTGAAATATGTCAGCTGATCAGAAGGGGTGGTTATTATTGCTGTTTTTATACTGCTCTGATTTAGGTATAAAAATATTTGAAAATTAAATGTTTTGTGCATCTTGGGCCATATATTTTTCATCTGTGTCTTTTCTTACAGATTATACAGCACCAGAAGGTATGGAGAATGCTATTCCCAGCAATATGATAGAAATAGGCAAATTTTGCCTAAATATCAAATAGGTGGTTGTATTTGCAGAAGTGCAAATTCATCAGACGTAGAGCTGAAATGTTTCAGTTTGTTGGTAACTACTCAGAGCTATGTGTAGTTTTTCTTTGGTGCTGGTGTTTTTGTTCCAGTGTAGAGCCCAGTCTTGCAGTCTCTTCTCAAACAAAAATCTGATTGACAGCTCCTGGAATTTTATCTGTGTAGGAAATAAGGATCATGCCTTAGGTAATGTCTTAGGAGGTCTTGAAAGTAACTTTCACAGGAAACTTCCTAACTTTGATGACTGTTTCTATTTTTCCAGGTTGAAGTTTGTTCTTGTGCTTTATGTGACTTGTCACCCCAGATTTCTGCACAAGAGACATACCCGAGATTGCCCTTTTAGCAGTTCAGATGCAGTGAAATAGAAGAATACTAAAACAAAGATAGGTTTTGTGTGTCTCTTAGCTGGTTGCTCATAAGGAAGCACCACAGGGAATTCGTAAGACTTGACTTAACTCAGAGGGGATAACTCAGGTAGGATTGCCTCTGGCAGAGCAGGAAGTACAGAACAAAATCAATAAATGGAATAACCCATTCTAATGCTGTTCTGTTTTTTTTTGAGCACAGCAGTATATGTGGTTTATAACTCTAAATCTGGGGAATGCTAGGTACTTAAAACCAAATTGATATGCTGTCTTTGGAATACCTGCACGGTGTTTACGCTAGTGAAGGATGGCTCCATTCTTCAGAAGGTGGCATGGTAAAACTGACTTCTTGCTGCCATAGGAGTTAGTTATTGAGTTTTAATAAGCCCAAAAAGGCTAAAAGGTAATTACCGACATGGTTCAGATATTACTAGATGGGACAGGAAGATACTCAGTCTGAGTGCTTTTACTCTTCTTTCATAGCCCTCTGGCAGCAGAGTAAGAAGGTGTGCCCCAGTTCAAATTAATTTCATTTTACGAGATTCCATAACAGTACCCAAATGTCCATGTCGGGACCAAATGCTTCTGTTGAAACAAACTCATTGAGTTCATCTCCATCTACAGGGATGTATTTTCCTGATTCCAGTGAAACGTTGGAATGTCCTATGGTTGAGCACAAGAGCTGTAGAAATGTGCTTTTGTTCCATGCTAAATGAAAAAATACCAAACCCAACCCTGTATTTGCTGTAGTATCTGTGACCATTTACTGTAATGTCCATTCTTAAATTGGAAATGCTAGGTTTTCAACCTTGGTGACTCTGGCTTATGAAGTGACTGGAGATCTACTCTGGCTATGACAAAACTTCTGATTGAAAACTTTTTAAAATTTGATGTTTTGGCATTTTACAAATCATAATCTCTCCTGAAAAGCACTGCAAAATGAAATTGCTGTTTTGCAGCTACTTTGTCATATGTCCGTATACCCAAGAATTAGATCCTTTCCTCCCACACTTTGCTTTCTTCCTAACTTTCATTACCTTGGTGTTTCTGACAAGGATTCCATTAGAGTCCTGCATCCGTACAAAGACTAGGTGAAAAAACAGTCTTTTTTTTCACTTTCTCTAGCCTGTTAGGGATTTTTGTAAACTAATGTTCTCTTATTTTTCTCTTTAGGTTTGATTTTTGACTTTGCTGCTTTCTAAGTATCTCTCTCTTTGAATCATAAGTTCTCAAAGTTATTAGCATTTTTCAAGGCTATCTCATTTTTTTATTTCTGGACCAAGTTTTGAGACCTTCAGGAACCCCTTGTGCCCTTTTACTGTTTCTTTGGGTGCTTGCAAACACCTGCAAATTTTAATGATGTGCTTTCTATCCCTTCTTTCTCATTATTAATAAAGAGGCTAAATCAAATCGATCCTGACACTTCTTTATTTAAATGGTCTTTGGATACTTCTCCTTAACAAGACAGTAGTGTTGTTTTACCTGGTTCTAAATATTAAACCCTGATGCGGTATTTCTTCTGAAGCCAGTGTAAATATTTTTTTCAGTGACAGATTAGTGTGGCACTGCATCCAATTGCTATTAAAAGTTAGTACTTCTACCTGTTGACATTCATGCTGATGAAATGCCCACTTAAATACATAATTTAATATAAGTTTTGAAAAATCAGCTGTGGCATACAATATGTCCTTTACTGTTTATCTATTTTATGAAGTCCAGAATACATTGTGAAAAAATGAGTAACCACATAATGCTAATGATCATTTATTTGTGAATTTTTAAAGCTATTGTGCTGCCATCCATATAGTCAACCAGGGAAATCCCATGTAAATAAAATAGCTCTAGAAATTACCTGTCATCTTCCACTCTTAATTAAGCTAGAATTTCTGAATATCTAGTATAGTGGAGATAGAGATATATAAAATCCAACTATTAAATATATAATTAGGACATTTGTATTGACCACACTATCACTCTGGAATTTACGGCCAGAGGTGTTGGATTGGAAGAATGAATCATTATTAGTAAATGCTACATGTTCTGTAGGGCTGGGGATTTTTAGGTTAGCTGAAACCATTTTTTTCCAGGAGGTCTCTAAGCTATGATTTTAGTGTATAATAAAGCTCATCACAGATGCTTTTGTCCGATTTTGAAAGAAAAAAACCCCAAACAACAATAGATATAATTAACAGTTCAGTCTTTTCATGAACATTTAGGAGAAAAAAAAAGTAACATATGTTTATCTTTTTCAGTAACAAATAGCTAATGTTTCATCCCAGTTGAGCAGTGCCATTCCATTTCATTTTTTCAGTCTGATATTAGTGACTCTGCTGCAGGGTATTAGTTTTATTGCCCAGAAGTGCCCAGTATAAAGTTTTGAATCTACAGTGCAGTATCAGTTCTGCACACAAGTGACTTAATTCAACCATGTATCACGCTTAAGTTGCACAGGCAGAATAACAGTATCACAGAATGGTTGAGCTTGGATGGGGCCTGTAGAGGTCCTCTTGTTCAAGCCCCCCGCTCAAACAGGGCCACCTAGACCTGGTTGCCCAAGATCATGTCCAGGCGGCTTTTGGATACCTCCAAGGCTGGAGACCCCACAACCTCTCTGGGAACCTGTGCTGGTGCTCGGTCACCCTCACAGTGAAGAAGTATTTCCTGGTGTTCAGAAGGAACCTCCTATGTTTCAGTTTGTGCTCGTTGCCTCTTGTTCTGTGTGCACACGCAGATGTGATCAGTCAGAAGCTGTTACATATATTGATTAAATTTGTGCTTTTTTCCAGTGAACACTTAAACATTTGGTTCATCTTCCTGCACATAGAAGCCATGATTATAGTTGTACTTAGTTTTTATGATATTTTCGTGTTTTTCTTTTCATCTTGCAGGGTAAGTCTTACCCCTTTAAAGGTCCATTCCCTCCTATGTGGAATCCATTGGCCTACCTGGACTACAACAACCTATGGAGGACCATGGATGAAATGGGAAAGGAGGTATGGCATGAGGAATTGCAGCTGACTGTCTCAGCTCGGCTTTGTCCTCATGAGGGGCAGATTGAAGATGGGACTAGGATGCAGACAGGCAAAGCTGCTCTAGCTTGAAGAAACCTGGTGCTGGCAAGAGCAGCGTCACGGTGTGCATCTTGCTATGCGCTGATGGTCAGAGCACATGTACAAGTGGCATCCTGGCAAGCTCTTCTGAAAGGCCATGCTACTGAGGTTGTCTGCAGTCATACCTTTGCTTTTCTGGGTATATGAACATGAGGGTTTATGCATGTGATTTTTAGCACTTTGTCTGATGATTGGGTAAGTAATATTTTTTAGGAGGCTTGTAGACCTCAACTGTATGCCTTTCTCCACCCTCGAACTCAACTGTTTTAGTTTGTTGCCAGTAGTCTATGTTTTCCACTGACTGAACTACAAGACTTTAAGAAGAGATTACTGTTACATGCATAGATGAATGGGAGAGAGAGGGAATAACTCAGAGACATTCCCCAGCACTGTATTTTGTCTTTCTGGGCAAAGTTCTTAACTGTAAAATTATTCTCTGTTCTTCACACTAAAAAAAAAAAAAAATCTTAAAACAAGCAAACAAACAACAAAAACCTAAAAGCACTCTCTGTTAAGTTCACTGCCAGCAATTTGCAGGCTGAATTGTAAAGATGAGATTATTTGTGTTTGTTGTCTCTTACGCTGCTCACTCATTTGCTGATGAATGCTCTTTTATGTCTCCTTAGATTCCCAGTGAAGCCCCATGGAAAGCTCCACATGCAGAAGAATGGGACAAAATGACTATGCAAGATTTCATAGACAAAACCTGTTGGACAAAGTAAGAAACTCTTTGATATGAAATATAATAGCTTATATTTATATACCTTAGAGCTCCAAGTAAGTGTTACTGCTTTGCAAACAGATATAACTACCACTAGAATACAGCTTTTTTAAAGAAACGGGGTGAGAAAATCTTATAATAATGGAACACGACACCTGTCAGCACACAGAGTATATTTTATTTCCATAACTTTTTAGACTAAAATAAAGATAAAAGGAAAATGCATTTGGTGAGGGTTACTTCTGAAGAGATGTGTGGTACCTTCATCTGTTATGTGTGCTTTCTCTGTCTTTACTGTGTATTTAACCTTTAAGAGAAAAATACTCTGGCTGCAGCAGGCTTTTGAATCAAACTTTTGATGGAAAACCACACTTTTATTCTGTGCTGGACCAGCTGATTTTACCAAAGTGCTATAAAAATAACATTTGTCTTGAAATAGCAGTAAATCACTTTAATACCCATCATTCTATTGTTTAACTGCTGCACTATATACCACCCATGAAAACTGAAAATGCTTCCAGTTTTTATGTATACATCAAAGCAATTTTTCTTTACTTGCCATTTAACAACAGTTTGATTGGTTTTCTTTGCACTGAAGAAAAAAGAAAAACCACATTAATTCCACCTCACTGTAAAGCAGATTGATTTCTACAGAAACTTCTTCGGAATTGCTAAGCACCCAACACATGGCTGCCGTGAGCCTGCCTGAGCTTTGGAGCAGGAGCCTGCTAGCACCCACTCAAGCTGATACAGTCATCGGCCGGGGCATTTTTATGGCTTCAGCCAGTCTCTGGAGAGCAACGTGATCATTGTTAATGGACAGTAGGCTCTTGTCCAAAAACTTTTAATCTTCTGATTGCTTTGCTTTAAGGAGAGTGGCAATTGCAAAAAAAAGCATATGGAAAGCCTTTCTTGCTTCTGTCACTGTCCATACTCAGTAAAACCAAACAGAAATGTATGCTGGCGGTTCTGCTGGCCATCTGAACCTCTGATTCAGTGAGGAACTATCCAAGTTAACAAAATGCTATGCATCGGTAGTCATTCAATATCCAATGGCTCACGTGACTATAGTCATACGTTTTCAAACCCTGATGGAATAAGACTTGGCATTTTACCTGAATATTGGCATAAATTTCAGCCTCCCTTAATTCCAGAATGCTTTTCAGATTTTATATGTGCATCTCAGCTTGATTTGCCCAATTTGTCCAAGATTCAGGTAATATGCCATAGAAACTTCCCACCCTGGAAGGTAATGATCTAGAAGGGTAATGTTCTACTATTTCCTTGCATCTAACAGACTGTACAGATTTGCTTTTGGCTAGAGTTGCATGCTGGAAATACCCTGACTGCTCTTGGTTGAAATAATACTGCCATTTCTAGGTAAAAACCATGAGAAACTGGGAAACTGAAATGCTAAAAAGCAATGGGAGAAGGCAGCAGAAATTGGGAGAATTTAACCACCATCTAATAGCTTCTTCTTATGAAATATTAATAAACATATATAGTAGTTCTCCCACTAGACAAAATATTTTTCAGAGTTGGTAAAATTTTACAGTATGTATTTATACAGACAAAAATTGATAAATATTTTCTGTATTTTTTTTGGTTGTCAAGAATGAAGCTGGAATACATCCATATTTCAGAAAATGGATCAGCTTTTTACTTCAGCAGGAGTTTGCATTTTTAGAAAGCACAGAAGATTACTTTTTTCTTTGTAGTTCTACAGCTGTTTGAAATAGTATGTTTGAGTTATGCTTTTCACTTTTTTTGGGGGGGAGGGGAAGTTTGAAGACTGAAAAAAAGAAGCTACTAAAAGTGGATTCTGTACTAGCTTTTGAAGTTATTCATTGCCTAATGACTGGCATATGAAATACCTATAGAATCTCAGTCCCTGCCAACCACAATGCAGTTAAGCCGAGCATCTCCTGGTCCTGTCCATGTCCCTTTAAACTCCTCCTCAGAGTGAGGGCAGAGGAAGTATTTACTTCTAACAGGAGGAATGTTTCCCTGAGCCTTATTTAACTTTGTTTTAGTGGACCCTGAAATCTTGTACAGGTTTATACAGTAATTTGCAACAGAGCTGTTATAAAAGCGCCAACTGGAGGACATAAAGCAGCATTCCTTTTCCAGACACAGGCTACTTTTCCACTTCTGTGTTCATCACTACTGACTAGCATACCACTGTTTAAAATACTGAGTTGAGCAACTAAAAATAACGTTTCCCTTTCCTTGCCAGACTTTTGCATGAATTTGTATGTGCTGTCTCTTCACTTATGGCTTCCTACTTACATTTCTTTCCTTATTGTGTTCCAGCATCACCTTTCCTGAGCACAGCAGAGGAGCGGGCAGTGAGGGGATGCTCACTAATGCAGAGAGTCCAGATGATTAGCTTAGATAAGATCCCTAACTTTTTTATGACAAGTGTTGTTGAATAATCTCTACACTGTGTGTAGAGACAGGCATTCAGCAGGTGCAAACAGATCTGCAGGTCTTGTATGTAACCCAGCAATCATGGGAGGATATGGTGGTTTTGAAGTCCAGTGAAGTCAGGAGGGCTTGCTTCCTTTAATTCTGAGTCTAGGATGAAAAACTAACTTTGCATTAGTAGCATAAAGTGGTGTAAGCTTTCATGGGCTGTTGTGTCTCCTGGAGCTCTAATTTGACTGGAACACAGCAGTGCTTGATTAACAGTTTTTTGCGGAGTTACTTGGAAAATATTATGTAAAAGGAATTGATAGTTCCCTGCTTCAACTGAAATTAAGGAATCCTTTGCCCACAGTGAAATATGAGGTTGCCAAAGACAGTCTGTCCCCTACTAAAGAACAATCTTGTTACCCTTCTTCAGTTTTTAAATTAACTCACTTTCTTCTCTTTGTTGCAGTGCTGCCAAAAGTTTTGCAACTCTGTTTGTGAATGTGGATGTCACTTCTGAACCCCATGAGGTCTCTGCCCTTTGGTTTTTGTGGTACGTGAAGCAGTGTGGAGGGACAACAAGGATATTCTCAACGACCAATGGAGGACAGGTATTGTCAGTCATCACCTTCTGCAGCTTGTGACAGGCCCTGTTTTCTTCATCCTTCTGCTTGTTTATTTTAGTTCAGAGGGCCAACTGATACATCCATGATTTTAAGCCAGTAGCACATTGATAACTAGTTCTATTCATTTACTTGTTAGTCTGGATCTTGCAAAACTAGTGTTGAAGGCTGTTCCTGTGCTGAAGGCATTGGCCCAGGGATCAGTAGATTTGTATCTGTTCCTGACTCTGGCTTCCTTTTGGGCTCTGGTTAGAACATGTACTTTGCTTATCCACATTAAAAAAATAAAGTTTTACTTATGCTTATTTCTGTTGTGAGGCTGAAGCAAGCCTTACAACTTCAGAAGCACATAATGGAGATGACAGTGCTAGCTGCACAAGTGTGTAGAGTGCTCCAAACTCATACTGAAAATGTAGCCCAGAGCTGAGTACCTAAGGATGAAAGCTTCCAAGGATTTAAACTGTTAGGATTTTAAAACCAGTCTGAAGAAAACAAACACCTCTTCTTAAATGTGATGATGCTCTGAAATGTTTGAAATCTGGTACATTAGTGCAGCGTCTGCGTTTCAAGAAAGTAAAGACTCTGTTAATGGTCTTCTACTTGAGAAATGCAAATTTTACTAATTGTATTAGAAATAATTATTTTTTTAGAAATGCATATTATTTAATTGTAAATAAAAAACTAAAAATACAAATAAATGTTAAATGCATAAATGTGCATAGATAAGCAGTTATTGTAGATAATTTAACTGTAAATAAATTGAATAAAATATTATTTGAATTCTGTATTATGTTAGAGATTATTTGAGTTTAAGTTAGGTTAGATTATATACTGCAGGAGACATTTTTGGCGTGAACTATGTGACTTCTTACACCTTGTTATTTATTATTATGAGGATCAGGGTTCCTACTTCTGGTGCATGGACCTCTGCAGGGTGAGAACTCAGAGAAAATTATAAAATTTTAAGCGCTTTTCAGAAGTCTTGCTGATTCACACAGGTCTGGGGAAGCCATTTGGAGACCACATGAGAAGGAATTTTCTGATGAGGTTACTGATACTTCTAGTTTTGGCTGGTGGTCAAATACGGGAAGTATTTGAGGAGCTCATTGAAAGAGAAAGTAATGTGGATACATTTTCCAGGCAAGACTGCCAAACTTCCCAACAATGTTTTGATAACACCAGAAGAATGTAGTTTGTTTTGAATGTCAAACAAAATGTTTGTCACGATACTCACTTCATCAGCACTGCTCTGCTGACTCTGCTTTGCTGAGTTATTGTTTTCTGTGTTTCAGGAGAGGAAGTTTGTTGGGGGCTCTGGCCAGATCAGTGAGAAAATAATGGAGCGCCTGGGAGGCCGGGTAAAGCTGAGGAAGCCAGTCATCCGCATCGACCAGTCGGGTGAAAGTGTCATAGTGGAAACCTTAGATCATGAATTATATGAGGTAATGAAACCCATAACATTTAAGCAACCATTTGTGCTGGGTTGGCTAGAAGAAGGATAGATTTTCCTTTTTGACTTCTCCAGAATGCTGTACAAAAACATAGCAGAGATTTAAGTGACTGTGACAGACAGTCACACTTTCTGATTGTTCTGAAGGAATAGCAATGATAGAGCTTTAAAATGATGCCTGGAAAGCGAAGTCTATATTCAAACTTCCTTTGCAAGCATCTCTTCTTTGTGTTCAGTTGCTTTGTGAATTAAAGGATAGTTGTAAGGTGGATGCAAAAATGTAGCTTAGTAATAAAATTTCTGTGAAAAACATTGCAGACTTTGCTTCCAAGTTGTAACAGAGGAGTCCAGATGGAAGGGAGACCAATGGACTCTTACAATACAGCGGGTTTTTTTAAGCGCTGGGGAAAGAGCAGCTGTCCATCATTTGAGCAGATGGCTGTTTATATAATGCTTGTTTGTTGTTTAACAAGCAGGATTTTGTGAGGGTTTAGTTTTGCAATTGTTATACTGAGTGCCAAAATTGCTTCAGAAGATATACCCTGCAGCCTCCCCAGATGTCTGCCAAGATCATTAGAGCAATATACTTCAGATGGAGTAGTGGGGAATGTATTTGGCTTATGTATAATTTCTTTTCCAGGGCAAATATGTGATCAGTGCCATTCCCCCAGCTCTTGTTTTGAAGATTCATTTCAACCCACCTTTGCCCCCAATGAGAAACCAGCTCATCAACCGTATCCCCATGGGCTCAGTCATCAAGTGCATTGTGTACTATACAGAAACTTTCTGGAGAAAGAAAGGTATTAGGTTTTAATTGAAAAGAATAATAGTGATAGAGTGAGGGAAGAGGGTACATGGTAACGGTGTAGTCTCTGTGTTTAGAAGATGCTGGACCTTAGAAGGAGAATTCATACACTTCTATGTCATTTTTGCCTTCCCCTACTTGAGAAACTTGAGAGATTGGTTGGGAAGAGAGGGTGGACAGGGGAATAAAAAGCATGAGGTAGACATGAAGAGAGAACTCATGCCTGTTTATTATTGCCTTGGTTGTTCTTTGTTGTCCTCTCCTTTTCCTTCAGTGGCACCTGGGGATGAGATGAGTCTCTCCTACTTGTACAGTAGTGTAAAGGTACAAGTGATGTGTGATGGAAAGAGGTTTTATCCCATCAATTATCAGCCTGCAAAAATTCTGCCTTCTGGATGCACTGGACGAGATTAATTGAATGTGTTTTCACATAGACATCCCCAGCTGAGCTAGTCATCCTGGTCTCCTTTACATGCTGAATACTTCCTTCGTGATTCCTCAGCTCTCTTTTAGAACTTCGCAAATCTAAGACAAACTGCAGCGTAATAGCACCCATTTCTTATCACTGTTTATAATAAGTCTACAGCTGCGTTTGTCTACAAATATCATCCGCTCTTCATCTTTGTGAATGATTTTAATAGTTCTGGATCCTGGCTATTAGGTTTGGGATGGACTGGCAACAGGTGATTCCCATTTCCTGATTGAACCCATAATTTGTGTACTGTGCTTTGCCAACACCATTGTTCTTCTTTAAGAACAATTTATTTTCTTCCAACCCTTCTTTTAAGAACAGTTGTGTTTTCAGAACAATGTATGAATATCTCCTTCTATGTCTGATGAATGTCATATGTGGAACTGTGGTAGAGGCACTTGAACACCTTCAGTATCTGGGAGCAACCTGTTTCTGTGCTAACCTTGCTAAGTGGGTTGCAGAATAATTTATTTTTTTATCATGAATTCAACAATAGGAGATTCCTTTATTGACTTTCTGTTTTAAAGATGCTTGAAAAGGGGTGTTAACTGTCAGCACATCTCAGATCTGAACTTTCTCCTCTAGAGAGGATCTAGCACTTCTCTGATTCAAGGCAACACTACACTACACTGCCTTTCAGATCAGCAAGGAAGCTGTGTGCTAACTTTTGTCACCTGATGGGAGTCACATCACTTGTGGGTTTTGTTTATTTTTTTTTTTCTTCTTTCCTTTGTTTTCATATCTCCCTGTATTAGAGTTATAGAATCAGGGAATGATAGAGATTGGGAGGGACCTCTGAATGTCATCTAGTCCCATGCCTTGCTCAAAGCAGAGTCAATTTAAATCAGGTTGTTCAGGGCTTTTTCCAGTCAAGTTCTGAGCATTTCACAGCTTCTTGGAAGCTCATTCCTGTGTTTGGGTACATGGATCCTACATTCTTTTCTGCCTTGTGCTTAACAGGATATTGTGGTACCATGATCATTGAAGATGAAGATGCTGCAATTGGTTTAACACTTGATGACACTAAGCCTGATGGCAGCTTTCCTGCCATAATAGGGTAAGAGAGAAAGAAAGTGTCTAGTTAGTGCCTTTTTATTTTGTCTTATAGGCAACAATTGAAATGGAAAACCTGCTACTTTTGGAGAGAAAGACTTTAAAAAAATGAAAGGGTTGAGTTTCTCAGTGTGTAAGGAATATGTTCTATGATTTTCTTCCTTTCAGAAAAGTTCTCTCTATGGTATAATTGCTAATTTTAAAAAAAATAAATTCTGTTTTTCTTCTTTTTCTCACTGTCATCTTTTGCCTTTTTGTGTGGCAAAGTACAAAATTGGAGAAGAGGAAGGGAAGGAGAAGAAAAAAGGTGGTGGTTACAGAAATGTAAAGTTTTCTCCAAATATTTTGCCTCCCCCAGATCTTCCAGTTCTTTAAATTAAAATTTATTTTCTAGAATTATATCTTGATTTGTTTTTTTTTTTTTATATATAAAAAAAAAAGAAAAACAGCCAGAGCGTATGATCAGTCTTAGAAAGGTTATTGAACTATAATTTCCAGTTCAATTTCAGGCTTCACCTCTTGTTGGTATATGCCCGCACTCACTGCTGTATGAAATTAAGGTTATTGGGAAGCAGCTCATACAAATACTACCCTGAATCTCAGAGTGGTTCCTTCCACAGTGAGTGCTGCAAGCAGCAGGCAGAGCATGTAGATAGAGACCCAAAATCTAATACTATGAATCACAGCATCCTATCATAAAGTATTGGCATTTTAAATAACACAGGAAATGTAGTAATATAATGGAAATAAATTGTTTATGGTCTTCCTACAGCTTCATTCTTGCTCGGAAGTGTAGAAGACTGACAGGCCTCACAAAAGAAGAAAGGTAACTACAAACACTGGAGATCTGCATGGAATCTGAGTCAAAATTGTGTTATAAATGACCAGAGAAGGAAAAATATGTCCTAATTGTAACCTCGTGACAGTAGGAAGACATGTCACTTTAAGGAAGAAGAGAGCTTACTGTTTTTTGGATGAAGGCCCCACAGAATTCCCACAAACTGGCAGCAGATGTGGCAGCTAGCCCTGCCCTTTGGAAACTCTCTGGTCCTGGTTTACGTTTTCCAGCAGGGCTGCTCTGCCTACATGACTCTAGCAAAAGAACTGCTCTAAGCTGCTGAATATGAAAGTTGTATGGACATTCTGCTGCCCTGAGTGGAAAGAGCCCAGGGCCAGCCTCATATCCCCTTTCCCTCCTGCCCCCAGATACCTGTCTGGCTTCCTGCAGCTGCACTGAGCTCTTTGAAGGCTTTTCAGAATGAACAGGTTTGGCCAATGTGCTTTTTTTTTTTTTTTTTTTTTTTTTTTTGTATAATCGCCCTGGAGGGTCCTTTCGGTGTCTTTAACTTAATGCAACCTTGAGGCCACTGTAGATGCCATGAATGAGACCTCAGCATTGTGAAGGAGTCAAAAAGCTGCCTCCAGCTCTCCACTCTCAGTTCTGAGGGAAAAAATGCCCTTCAGGCACAGATGAAGGTCTTTTTTACTGTCTTCTTGAAACAAATCTCTGCATATGGTAGTGCTCTTTGGTTTATTACTAAAACAGAATTTACAAAGTAATGAGTTTTTTCCATCACACTGATTCACAGTATCTGATCAAATTAAAGCTACAAGTAGAGAGTATGGATATGAGGAGAAAATACCTTTGTTTTTAAAGTATGCCACAAGGAATACTGTGTCCAAGTAAACATTGTTACAGTAATAGCTAATCTAACTAGAAAAGATGTAGTGATCTCAGATTAGCTTTGCAGGTAGTTTAGCGGTCTGTGGATAATGGGTCTAAATGGGGCTGCTAATGTCGCAGTCTTTTCAAATGACAGCCTAGTACCACAGAGCACTTTTAATTTTGGCTGGAGTGGACAGGGAAGTCTTTTCCTCAGGACTCAGGCTTTGAGATAGATCCCCAGCAGGTGACTGCCTATAAAAGTAGTGTAGATGTTCTGAAATCCAGTGTGCCCAGCATTTTAAACCATCATAAACAACAAATGGTGTCTTACACTGTGTGTCAATACACTAGACACAACTGAACATTCACAGTATTTGAGAACAGCTTCTCTTTCTGTGAAATGAAGGGCTGTCCTGGATGTTTGCAAGGCACCGTGAAGGAAAGGTTGCTTTCCCCTGGGCGTTAAAAGCAATAGCACAATTATCTGACTCTTCTGCTGCCTGTGGCCAACTTTTAAACAAACGGGTTTTGAACTCTTGTCTTTTGAGGAAGAAACCTTAGACTAGGAAGGACTGTGCTTTGATAAGGAATGGTTATGAAATATGCTTGGGTTGGCACCTGATTGACATCCCCTGGTGTGGGGGCACCTCTCTGGCTCCTGCAGTCCTGGCCACAGCCAGCCAAGGCAGGAACCCACTGGGCTCTCCTGCACATTAGCACAAGTCTCCTTCCAGTGGAAATCAGGGTCCAGGAAAAGACAGAGTGCAAACCCAGACCTTTTTCCCATGTACATTCAGGGGCAATTAGTTTGTATTGTTCAGATGTTAGATGGGGGCCATGGTGTTTTCAGGGAGGGGTCTCTCCTGAGGACAGGCTTCTTGTGGCACCCTACAGAGGATGCGTCTTGCAGAGGTGCTGTGCTTGCCTATCAACACAGGCTGGGTTCTCATTTTGTCACGTTGATGACAGGGTAAGGTTTTCAGTAATCCTTGGATACAAAGAGTAGGATGTAGGGTCCATGGCAGCTATCCTAAATCATGGCTGGGAATGGTGGTTGTGGGAGGGTATGGAAACTGTTTTACAGCCTAAGCCAGGCTGAAGAGAGTAAACCTTAATGCTGCCTTCCAGCTGGTCCTCCCAGGCCAGGTGCCAGTGGTTAAATTGTGGTTAAGTTTGCTACCTCTCACAGCTGTGCAGTAAAGGTGATGACATCACACACTGACGTGGAATAAGAGACCGGGGTAAAGAGCCGTCCGTCTGCGTGTGCACTTCTTCCACACTGCGCACAGTGTAACTCTCAACAGGACCCTACCTAGGTAGCTCCAGGCATAGCATTCCTCTTATTTAGTGCTAGTGGCAATTTCACAGCTGAGTCCAAAGACAAAAAATAAGGATTTTACTCACTGCATATAAGTTCCATGCTAACATTAACCATAAATCCATAAATAAGTATTTATATGAACTGTTCTAGGACAAAAATTGCAGATGTTGGAGTGACTAGCACATCTGCAAAGATTGATTTATTAGAGGTAATGTGCTCAGTAATAGAGTACCATTGGTGTGATTCAGTCTTTAGAAACTGCTTTTATGTGTTTTTTTTTCTGTCAAATAATACCTTATTACTGATGAATAATTCCTTCTAAGGTCTAAATTTCTTAACAGTCTGAAGATGCCCTTGACCTGAAGCTTAATAATTTCTTTTGCACAGCTATCTTAAACTAACTTGATATGTATTTGCAATGTAGTTAGCAAAGAGCAGTGAACTTGCACCTTATTGGAGCTCAGCAGTTGGCCATACCTGAGAATCCCTACCAGCCTTTGGTATGCCATTTCCAGGCTCCCTGGAGGGTCTACAAGTCACATGTGGAAAAAGGGCAGGGCACAGGCAGATCTAGAGGGATCCTTCTCATCCCTGTCGTGGTGCTGAGAGGAGCCAGAGGCAGGTGGGTCCTAGGGTAATAACTCTTCTGTGGAGCCCTGTGGTGTTACTGACCTGCCCTGAAAGCAGGAGCCAGTGGGCTTTTCTGAGAGGTGATGGGCAGACCTCAGCAGAAGCTTTGCTGGGTCATGCTGTTAAAATGGCTTTACTCTCTTCAGACACTGGGTAGGTACTGGTGGTCTGCAGGTCATGGCAGTCACCTCACTTAGGGAGAGACAGAGAGATGGAGGCTGTGATTCCTTTTGTTATGGTTGTTACTGGATTCATGTCACACCCTGACTGCAGAGGGATGTTCATATACAGATCCTGCAGCTCTCCAAGCCCCCCATGGCCAGTCACTGCTTCACTGTGCCTTTCTGCTTCTGGAGCAGGCTGACCCTTTTCCTCTCTCTGCCCTGGGGCACAAGGAAGGGGCTGAGGGGCTGCGTCTTCCCCCTCTCCTGCTCTTGAGCTTGGCACCCCCCAGTAGCACAGTAACCCCAGGCCCACGGCGCTTCCTAAACTGTAGCAGCCTTCACTTTCCTGCTCAAGCCCCATCCTGCACAGGAGGACACCTTCTTCAAGGCCCTTCAGATCTTCCTGGTTTGTTTGTTTTTTTTTTTTTTTTTTTCTCCTCATCCACTTTCTGTAGCATTCGTTGAGTTCAGCTGCTCCTGGGTATAGCTGGACTCCTGAATAGCTGGGTTGCTTCATACGGCAGTATAAATACAGTTTTCTCATATATCTGCAAGTTTAGCCCATACAGTTACAGAGCTGGTACTACTGTATTTCTCTGCCCAGCATGGCTTTCTGTGGAGCACAGCGTTTGCTTCCAGAAGTAAACATCTTTCCAGTGCTGTGTTTGCATGTTTGTTTTTAATAATTGTTAACTATTATTTCATCTTGATCTTCATGTGTTTGGAAATTGGTGCAGTGCGGCTAACAGTAAATAGTAAGATCGAAAAGCTTATAAGAACAAACTTAATTGCACTTGGGGTTTGATAGAGTATGAAGTATATTCATGGATTTATAGACTCATAAAGTAACACAGGAGGAACTTTTATAGATACAGAAATAAAGTACTGATTCCCTGAGAGCCTCAGGCTATCAATACCTGGATCTTTGTAGGAACAAACCATAAGTTAGACTATGTGCCAAGACAAAAAGGTGCAGTGCCTACTACTTGCTTTTCTGACAGCCTAGAGAACCTTTGGATAATATATGGATTTGGTCTGCTAGAGGTATCTTAAGGGAACATCTTGCATAACTGATGGTAAAACCAGCACTTATACAGCACAGGAGTTTGAGTGAATTATTTGTAGTGATCCAGAGGCTGACCAATTAGGATAGATTCTAAAAAGCTGGAACCTCAAGTTCCAGTAGATATTAATACCTGTTCTTTTGAAACTAGGACATATTAGAGGTGGTTTATTTTCTCTTTCCTCACACAGAAGTCTTCTGTTGCTTTTCTCTTGCAGGAAGATGAGGCTTTGTGAGCTCTATGCAAAGGTTCTGGGATCAGAGGAAGCTTTACATGTAAGCACAAAACCTAAACCACTGCACCTCTTGTCAGACTTGGTGAGCTGGGGAAGAGCAGAATGAAACCAGAATGCAGCAGTGCTCTGGTACAGCACTGCATGGCATTTTGGAGAAAGTACCTGCTATGGGAGCACTTGCTGCCCTCTGTAGAGGAGTGGAAAGAACGTTATGGCAAGTCTCGGGTTGTGTTTGACAGTGAGGATGAGAATGAGCTTACGAAACAGTTAAAAGGCAGATATGTTCTTGTCCAGCTACATGGGTGCCATTCGCAGTGCTTGCCACCATACATCTCAGCTGTTTTCAGATGTGACAGACTTGCCTTTCCCTCACAGTCTGTGTTGAGAATAATGTTTCTTCTCTCTTGTTAGTTGATAAGGCTCACTACTAGATGTGTTGGGGATTTTTTGTCTTTCCCTGCCTTCTCTTCCCTGTAATGAAAAATAACTGATAGGATTTGTGTGATCTCACACTTAGTTTGTGTGATCAACGCTGCTTATCCTTTAAGGGAAATTAAATGCTGTAGACACCAATCCCAAGATTACATGATTTTAAACACAGTGGTACTGTACACAGAACCATGCAAGTGCCATACTTTGCATTTTTAACAGTATATATTTGTATCCAATGTACATATTACAAGTATTATACCTGTGTACACCTGAGGTTAATTTTTCTTTACATGGCTCAAAGCATAAATTTGCATTGAGAGATTAAGAGGATTATGTTCTACAGTGGCCAGATTAACTAGCTTTTTTAAACATAGCTAGCAGTGTCTAAAATTAAGGCTTATTGTGTTGGATCCATGTGGCATTAAGAGACTTGTTAAATATGCTCATCTTGTCAGACATTGACATGCAACAAATCATAAGCTATTCTTCTCTGCTCTCTCCTCAGTTCTTTTATTAGCTTCCCTGGGACTTTGTCCTTTCCTTGAGTGAATTAATCTCTGTTTTACAGCCAGTGCATTATGAAGAGAAGAACTGGTGTGAAGAACAGTATTCTGGGGGCTGCTACACAGCCTACTTCCCACCAGGCATAATGACTCAGTATGGAAGGTACAGTGTCTATTTATAGTGGGCTTCGGAGTAGTAAGATAAAACCACATTAATAAATATCCTCAGAAAGGGTCATAAATCCTCTGTCACTGTTCGCTTTATACCTTTAAGATCACGGGGGAATATTTTAAACAGATATTATAACCTTCCACTTGTCTCAGTTGGGCTTTATGATGGATGAGTACAGTATCATTAGGGGGTTTTATTCACTTTTGTTATTTGGTAAATACAGCCGAGAAGGTTCTTGAAAGGGAGTTGGGAAGCTTTCACAATCTATTTACAAAACTGGCTTTGGGTATTTGAGATCAGTGTTACCATTTCCGGCACATTGTTAGCTGGTATTTCATAAATACTGGTAGAGTTAATTCTTGCCAACACTGACAATAATGAGTGATTTCTTTGGACTGCTTCTTTTCTTTTAGCAGTCAAGGCTTAATATAGTAATCCGTGTGCCGTTGTATACAGTCCTGTCCGACAAAATTTTGGCTTGAAAATAAGATTTACCAAAAAGAAAAAGGTTTACTGGTCAGTCTGGTGAGTGGATTCAGATAGATAGTTTTTAATGTGGTGGCACAGCCCTACTTTGAAGTATAAGTTTTCACAATCTAAAAAAACCACAGAGGAATAAAGCAGTTGTAATGAAGGGCATATGGAGGCCTTAGTATTTAAAGCAATTTTAATGATGATTGCTGCAAATTCTGGCAAATAGAGTTTTAAAAAAAAATCCTTTTTTATTTTTTTTTTTTTCATTTTCTTGTTACTTTAGATATCATGGGGATGTACTTCAGAATGCTATACTGTGCCAGTAATGCCTAGCATTGGTATTTATGATACTAGCTAAAATAGTGAGATAGAATAAATCTCATCTCAAGCTTAATTGCCCTTTGCACCTACAAGCATTTTAAATGTTTAGAAAATATGAACACTGCTGTGTTTACTCTAAAAGATGAGATGCAATACAGACTGCCCCTCCAGCTCAACTCACCCAAAGTTTACTATCTTCCAGTGCTCGCTGTCATTTAAAACACTTCTATTCTGATTTTAACCCAAGGGTTTCAGTTACCTTTCCTGATATGGCTGATGTGACTTACTCCTTGTCCCCCTCCAGGATTATTCGGCAGCCCATTGGCAGGATCTATTTTGCTGGTACAGAGACAGCCACAGAGTGGAGTGGATACATGGAGGGGGCTGTGCAGGCTGGAGAAAGAGCAGCCAGAGAGGTACAGATGCAAGCCCAAAAAAGGGGGTGCTGTCAAATATGCTATGGAAAACGGAAGAGCCTCTGGTTGGAGGTGAAATGGGAACCGAGTGTTGACTGCTTCAGGCATTCTGAAATCTTGATGCAAATCCCTGCAAAGGGGATAGACTTCAAAAAGGATGACAGTTTTGCACTTAGATTTGGAATGCTTATGAAGGGCTCTGGCTATTTCATCAAACACTTCTCTGTTTCCAGTAATTAAATTCTTTCTTCTTTAACAGTGTTGTGGTTTGGGCCTGGTTGGCAGCCAACCACCACGCAGCAGCTCTCTCTCCCTTCTCTTCTTGCAATAAGAAGGGACAGAGATCCAGGCTTGGGGTTCAAGATAGGACTGGGATGGGGAAAAAAAAATCCCCCTTTATGGTCACGAGCAAAAGGCAGACTCGTTAGGGGAAGAAAAAAAGAGCATACATTTATTACAGACACTAACAACAACACATAACAGAGTAGGACAGTGCGAAGCATTGCCACATCTTGAGAACACCTTCCCCCCACCCCTCCCTTCTTCCCAGGCTCAGTTCTGCTCCCGATATCTCTACCTCCTCCCCCAGTGGCGAAGGGGCAGGGAATGGGGGGTGCAGTCAGCGCTGCCATTTCCCTTATCTTCGGTGAGGGGAGTGTCTGGAACTTGTTCCTCCTGCTCCATCGTGGTCCCCCTCTCACAGGAGACAGTCCTCCACAAACTTTCTCCGACATGAATTCCTCCCACAGGCCGCAGCGTTCCCCACACTGCTCCGTCATGGGTCACTAACTTCCTCCGACTGGAATCCCTCCCACAGGCTGCAGCCCTTCCCGAGCTGCTCTGGCGTGGGAATCCCCCGTGTGCTGCAATCCTCCCAGCGCTGAATTACAGCAGTGGGGCTACCTTTTCCCATGAGACCCCGGCCTTCTTCGGGCACAGTCACCTTGGTCATCCATGAGAGGCCCCTCACAGGCCATAAATCAATGTCTGCTCCACCACAGATCTTCATGGATGGCGGGGGGGGGGGGGGGGGGGCGCCCTGCTGTCTCACCACAGGATACAGGGGGGTCTCTGCTCCTGCACACCTCCCCCCTCCTTTCCTCCTCCGTTCCTCCACTGACCTTGGTGTTCATGCAGCTGCCGCAACTCCTCCTCACCAGTCCCACTGCATGTCACCACGTCCCTTCTTAAATACATTATCGCAGAGGTGCAGCTGATGGGCTCAGTTTTCCAAACAGAGGTGGAGCTGACGTGGAGCTGGGGGAGCTTCGAGAAGCTTCTCACAGGGGGCCGCCCCTATAGCCCCCTCCCCTGCTACCAAAAAACTCCACCACTCACTCAACCCAGGACAAACAGAAATCCCAGATTCTCACCTAGTCATTTTTTCCCCCAAATTGGCACTTTGTTAGTCATCATACTGAGAGAACATGGCCATTAGCCTCACTAGGAACAGCTCAGTTCTGCAGCTCTGCACACCAAGCCAGTCCCTTCCTCAACTGTTTCCAACAATACCATTGACACAGTGATATACCATTGAGACAGCTTTAAATAAAGTCATTAAACAAGGACTTCAATATTTTGCTTCTGAGAGAATGTCAATTCCTCAAGTATTTTCAGGAATATTACAGTTTATGGAGCAGCAAAATAAATTTCATCTTTGTTTTATGGGGTGAAGGAAGCCTGTGGCTAAAATCTACAGTTGCAGAACAGAAATTGGCCTGGAAATTATCTGGAGAGTCTGTCTAGCCCATACCCCTTCCCCTAAAGACAGGGATCAACTGCCCTTAAACTGTCCCATTTGTGAAGGTTATACCTAACCTGTTCCTGAAAACCTCCAGAGGTAGTGCTTCATGACCACTGTAATGTAAGGACATTACAGCAGAACCTCCATAGGCTACAGAAGAGAAGTTGAGAAGTGAGCTTGACTCACTTTTTTTTCACAAAAAAAATTTTGATGTTTTTCTTTTCTCATTCACTTGTGAAAGGAAAATATGTTTAAAATCCAGTGAGAGGGTGTTTCTCACTCTCCTGTATTGAAAAGTTGATGGGGTCCATGAATCTTGTCTAGAATAAAAGCCCATCGTAAAGGATGGCAAATACTAAACCTACAAGTGTCTGGAATAGGAAAAACATTATTATCACTACCTCCATTTTATTTTACTGTAGAAGAAGTTAATATTGCTGTCTTTCATGACTATAATTTCAGATAATCTCTACTATCCTACTGATTTCTGGTATCTTTGATACTTTGAATGATTACTTTTCCATTGTGAAGGTTTTCTTTTCAGTCTTGCTTTTCTCTGGCTGAAAACGGTGGTCTGTCATCACCCACAGGATTCTGTTCCTCTTCCTACATCATGGTAAAATTTGCAAAATGAGCTACTCCTGACTATATAGCTTACGCATGCAGTAGCTGGTTTATGCACGCCTCACTTTGCCATGAGTATATACTTAACACTTAGTCATATTCATATTACCCTGTTCCCATGGGACTAGTCAAGTTCCAATATCTCTCATGGACTAACTAAGCATAGAGAGGTTTTTCTGTTACTGATTCTATTTTCCACTAGAATGAGTGTCTTATTAAACATCAGGCCTCCCCAGAAATGAGTTGTACAAAGGTCGAGTTTTCTTTCAAAATTTGCACACACAGCAATTTATGTGCTCAATTGTTGTCTTCATCATGCCATTTTAAAACGAAAATTGAAGCCAGCTCTTTTTCCCTTTCAAAGAATGAATAGTACTTACTAGAGAATGTTACTTATTTTCAGATACTGTTTGCTATGAGAAAAATCCCAGACAGTGAAATCTGGAAGCCAGAACCTGAATCAACTGTAAGTCTTTCTGTAAATCTAATGTAATTTTTTTTTTTTCTGTGGTTTTGCTGGTGAAGTAGAATTTTGTTGGCTGTTTTTATTTAAGTTCATTAAATCAAAGCCACAATAAGCTTTCCCTTCCTCATCAAAACTGCCCTTCCCTAACAGGAACGTGATAGAAACTCAGAGAGGGCACCCGTGTGACAACCCTGTAATGCGGAATTAGAAAGAACTGCACTTTTTAAGTGAGCTATGAATCCTTTCCATGTGTCTCTTATTCCCTTTAACTGAGAAGCAAATTTTGATAAACTGAACTTCTTGATAACATGAACTGCTTCAACTGAGTTCTGTGACTGCCACAAGAATCTCTTGCTTTACATGCTGCATCTCACAGTGGAGACGTTATGTTGATAATGGATGCTCTTCCTGCAGGATGTTCCAGCTTTGCCCATCACTACAACCTTCTGGGAGAGGAACTTGCCGTCTGTGCCAGGACTGCTAAAACTGATTGGATTTTCCACTTTCTTTACCTCTGTGGCTGCGGCTGGGTTATTTGCTTACAAAAAGGGACTTGTAGTTCGAAACTGAAAAAGGTGCCAATACAAAGCTTCATGCTTGAGCGGTTTGGGTTTTTTTTTTTTGATTTTTTTTTTGGCATGTACTTCCCTGTCTCCAAAATCAGATCAGGACTTGGGAAGAGGAGAAAACAGTAGAGAGAAGAGGCTGAAGGGGAGGGATGAAGGAAGGGGATCCGTATTGAAAAAGAACCCCTTGAATCCAGGCCTACTTCTAGCAGTAACTTTTTGGTTGTTGAATAGAAATAGATACCCCTGCCAAGCATTATCACCTTGAGGTTTTTATCCGGATTTCAGAAGAGAAGTGACAAATACCTCTATAAAGCCTGTTCTGATGAGATTTCCAGCTGTTTTTACACTTGTATCTGAACCAGACCCTGAACTCCCAAGTCTTCACAGGCATTTCTATCTCTAGTTGTAAATGAAGGATTTCTGCCTTCCTGTGTGGTAGACTGAGAAAATAAATCCATACCTTAAAGAATAATTAACTAGTTAATGAAAATTGCTGCTAAGGATCTTTTTAGTGTTTTCATTTCTCACCCAGGTGTCCAGAGCCCAGGCAGCACCTAAGGGACAGGTTGGGCTAAATTTATCCATCCAAACCATGCAAGGGTGACTCGAGGTTGTTGGGATTTCCAGTAGCATATTTGTCCTACAGTGAGTTAAAGGACAGTGTTGTTAGAGCCTTTGGCAATGTGGTTGAATTTCAGGCTCCCCAGCTGTGTTCAGATTGCCTGGAACGGCAGGGCTCGTGTGTGCCAGTCAAGTCCATCCCTGTGCAGGATCTGACCTCTGCCTAGAAAACCGGCAGGCTCCGGACTATTGCTGGTCTGTACAGCAGTATGGCAGATCAGGCTATTGGACCTGAGTGCGAATGGGGAACCTTGTGCTAATGCACAGACACAGCCTTTTGAACCTTTTTCACTCAGTCTTCGACATCTCTGTGCCTCCAAGGTCCTGTTTTAGCTCCCTAAATTGCTGCAAGATAGCAGGAGAGCAAATTAACCTCTGCCTGCCTCAGGAAGTTGTAAAGCCCTCCATAAAAAACTCATTTACTTACTTTTTCTTATTTCCTGCCTTTCTTTCATCCACTTAAATTTATACTTTGAACACCCTGAGGCTGTGTCATGCCTGGTAGGGCACAATGGGCTTGAAAATGTAGCGTTAGTATTAAAAAGAAACAACAACAAAACTAATTTAACTGCCCCTCCCCACACTTGCTTCATGCTGAACACAGTTTAGCTGATTCAGAGCTCCAGTCTTTCTGAACAACTGTATTGATGGGATTAGCACTTCCACTTCTGCCTGCTGTGCTGTGTTGTACTGACTGTGCACTCCTGGCAGCTGATCAAGGATTTAAATGGTAGAGAGATCAAAGAGAACCATGGATAGGATAGTCACAGGCAAGTGCTTCTGCCCTCTCTAGCTTGGTACCTTTCAAACAATGTAAAAAAAAAAAAAAAAAAAAAAGAAAAGAAAAAAGAAAAAAGGAAGAAGGAAAAAAAAAAAAAAAAAGAGAAACAAAACCCCCCAACCACCAGAACCTTAGGTGCCTACCTGTCAACACGATGGTACCTTGTTCTAGGTGTTTCTGTCGTTTTATGTCTGCACAACCCAAAACAGGAAGACACAGATATAACTGAGAACAGGATTTGGTGCACATGAAGTTTGAGATGTCTGCATTTTTTCTGAGCCGATTTGCTGTACATCTCCCTTCAAACAGTGCTGATTTATATGTAAAAAATTACATTGCAGTAAAAAGCCATGGAGGGAAGTATAATAATATATTCATCAGACGGTAGAGGAACTGTATCACCAGTTTCAGGCAGACTTTTTGGGCTAGCATCTGATCCTGCTTGTGCAGAGTAGTACTTCATTGTCCATATAGTCCCATGGAAATCCACTGAACTACTTATAAAGCTGTAATATTTGTGAGCAGTGTATCAGTTTCTGGCCCTTAGGTTTCATTCTTTTTAACTTGATGTGCTAGTTAAAAATCTTGTAGCGGCAGCCTGGATTTTATCACAAATGAATATCCTCATAACAGCCTTTTAAAATGCATAGGGGAACTTTTCAGATATAAAGATCTTTAAGTCAGAAGAACAGTGCGGCAGTGTACATATGGCCTTTCTCATTGTATCACACAGAGCACTAATTGGCTGGGACATTTGCCTACAACAGAGCATTTCTACGTGGCTTGCTTTCTGTGATTTATTTACTGAATAAATTAGGAACCAAAAGCTGAATGGGAACTGTGTAAATTCAGAGCTTTTGCAACTCAGACAATTCTCAGGCCAGAAATAAAGACGGGAACCTAAATTTGGGAAGACATTTTTAAAGTCTTGACTTAATATTTGTAAGTTCTAGATGGTGAATACATGCTTAATATATAAAGACCTGATGCATTTGTGGATGATTTCTCTGCCAAAACTGTTCGGATTTCAAGTCGTGGTTCTGCCCTAGAAATACTCTGCAGGTCTCTAAAGGGTAACAGATCTATGAGACTAATGAGGATAAATTAGTTTTATTCATGTCCAAAATGTATCTCTCTTCTTTGTTCCTGAATCTATTAGACGTTTTTCCCCATCTAACGAGAAAATGTGTGGCAGAAAATCTAAGGAAAACCAGAAGCTAGGTATAGTTAGAACTGAACAGAATCATAACCAAAGCTTTTAATGAGATTGGTCAATTTAAAAAATAAAACAAAACAAATCCAAAACCAGTGTATATAGTTATAAATATTTCTTATTCTTAGTTTCAAAGTGAAACAAAAATGGAAAAAAAAAAACCAACCCAAAAAACCACAAAGCATTTCTCATGTTATTCTGCCACAACTAAAAGCAGATGTGACTTTCAATCTCAGATTAAATTTGGATCCCCTGAGATTTCTCACCAAATTGATGGTGCCAGGAGGTCTGAATTGCAGCATCTGTATAAGCACTCAAAAGTTGCTGTCTTCTTCCTTCCAGACTGCCAATGCATTAGGAATGCTCTCTTTGTCTTTACAGCCATGTCTTGCTACGATTATGCTATGGATTTTATCACCACTATGGGATTAAAGAGAAGGATTTGCTGCTGTTTTCTTGATATCTTCCACGTAAAAGGAATATGTGGAACTTTGTGTATGTGGATGCCAGTGTGATAAGAAAATTGACAAATGTTGGTGAAGAATCAAGTTGCCTCCCCATGGGTAGAAGGAACTGTTGGCACTGGCTAACATTTTTAAAATTCCTTCATGTTAACCCTTCAAAGAGAGGAATGAATTCTGGTTTATCAGGTAACCAGTTCTGCTATATTCTTAATTTATTAACATGTTTGGTGAGAAATCTGCTATCATGAAAGTTCCAACAGTTTACCAGCTTCGTAAAATATATTATAGGAACAACCGTGGAAATAATTGTATTTGTCTCTTATGAACTGATTTGTGTTATCATGCATATTTTGTAAGGCTCTTAAGAGTTTGCAAAAAAAAAAAAAAAGTTTACTTGCTTGTAAACTGTTCTGATAACAACTGTATATTGCAAAGGATGTTGGGTCATGGCATGAAAATCTGTGTTAACCAAAGTACTTGAAAGCTAATTGTATAAACTACTTGACAATAACAAGGAAGTGAGCAATCTGAAGTAGCCCCTTGTCTTTCCTTTAACTAGTAAATTTTTTTTCTCAGTGCACATCTTGATTCCAAATAGCACATCTGCTGTCAACACAACAAGGACATTAATCACAATTAAGTATATGTCTGAGCATTGTCCATCACTGGAAACCAAGGCCTGCAGGAGAAGCTAGGGACTTCTATTAAAATAATCTCCCCGTGTCCTCAGTGGGACTGTTGCTTCACTGAGGTAGACTTTACATAAGTGCAGAAATTTTAAGATTTTTTTTTTCTTTTTAAAACATGAAAGAAAAATATTTTTGAGAGGAAGGAATTGTATGTCCTCCAAAAGTACTTGGATGCAAAAGGGAGCCGGGATTAAATGACAACAGATCTGCCATTGCAGATCTCACTCTCAGACCTGCACAATCAGACAAGAAACAAACTCACTTAAATCACAGATTACAGATGCTCACAAATAAACCTGACCTGAGTTTAAATGGATTGCCATTCCCTCTCCCATCTCCACCACTTTAAGATCACCTTGATTTTACAATCTGTTCTTCAATAGAGACAAAAAAGAGATGGCCAAAGCAGTCTTGCTTTCAAAGTATCTCTCCAGTCAAATCGTTTAGGTGTTGTCATAGGCTGCGGCTTGTATTGTGTCTCCTGTGGTCATGTAGAGGTCAGTGTTCAGTGATGCCTGCCTCTGTGTTTTGGAAAAAAAGAGTGACTTCACTTTGCAGGAATATATATGCTGTGTGTGTGATGAATGTGTGCCTTTTATAACTGTAGCATTTTCTCAAGTGCCTCTGTGGTGACTGTCTCCCTTGGTTTCCTTCTTAAGTTCTCTTTTCAATACGCTCTGCAGATATTTTTATCTGACAGCTGTGAACTTTTTTTAACCTTAATTAGAATCAATAAATATTGTCATGTCACATTTACTGTTTGAGGCTTTTCTTTTGTGGAAGCCCCTTTTGACGTGGTTGTGATGGTGAGTATTACTTAGTAACACAAGATTTTTCATTTCATATGGAAGCCAGTGAGGTGTTTTCAGCTTTTCTCAGTAAAGAAAGCTCTGTAAAGAAGAAAGGAAGAAGGATAAGAAAACTCCAACAAACCACAAAACTCCCAACTCCCTGAAAAAAATAAACACCAAAACAATGAAACCACATTGGGTAATAATTCTTTCTAACATATAGATGGCCAACTGTCTTTTACACTTAAGAATTAGTTTTTATTGCTGTAGGTAGATTTGGAGTATCCCTATCATGAACATACCCCTTTCACAGTACCTTGCTTACCAGAATATGTATGGGCAGGACTTACAGCTGCTCATGAGTCAAGGGCAGGTGGCATAATGCTATAACTGAACATGGGAAAAAACAGACTTCATACTAAATACTCTGTGGTGTAAACATAAAAAACTTGGAAGAAAAGGAAAAATCACTGGCTTAATTTCATCCATCAGCTCAGTGTCAGTGCTAGAGAGATAATGTAATTGAAGAATAAATTTGGCCGTGGGGAGGGTCCTGTGTTTCACCAAAATGTAGTTTGTGACTACTGGAAAAAGCATAACCATCCATGTGAAAAACACGTCATGTGAAAAATGCACTGCTTTTTATATAGGCTTAACTTTCAGTATTACTTACAAGTTATAAAGGAGCACAAATACCATGAAAGCAAATATTTTCAACTAATCCTTTGCATGCTCTATAAAGCATCCATCCCTTAAGAAATGTATCAGAACCAGCAATGCATTTCACAGGCTCTCAAAGCAACTCACAAATGATTATGACTCTTAAACATTGCTGCCTTGGCTCAGATTTGAACTACCTCTTTAACGCTTTGTTCAGACATATCCTGTGGCATCCTAGAGGAGGTACTGAAATGGTATTTTTATTTATTTATTTATAAAGCTTTCAGTGTGCATGTCAAAGAGACTGTGTCAGCCAGGGGCCACTTAATTATTTCCAGCAGTCCAGTGTACAGAAAATTAATTTGGATGGATTAATACAGGAGAAATGCATTTGGCATAACATATGTAGAAGATAAATAGGATTTCGTGAGAAACCAATTAGATATCCCACTCATTGTTCAGGAGAGAACATGTTTGCAAATTATTTGGCTAAATCGTACAACACTAACTTCTAGTGTGAGAACTGAGGATCATTTTTTCCTCTCACCTTGTATAATTATACCAATCTACTCATCTGAAGCAAATCCCAAAGTGTTTGAGGGACTGACAAGTTTTGCCTTCTGGCTCAAGGCAGGATTAATTCCCATAGGGCCTGTAGAGTTGCCTCAGAAAAAAAGCATTCAAGAACGAAAGGCACAACTGGCCTCAGACTGTACAGAACCAAGGTACAGTTTGATACCTACTGGAAACAAGGGGAGGCTTTCTGTTTAATTTAGACCAACACATTAAGGCCCGAGTTTTTGCTACCCCGTCTGAGGTGCTTCCGCCAACAGAGCCGCTGAGGCACAGTTCTTGTCTGGCCGTCCTCCCTCCTCTGAATGGGGAGAGAAGGGCTCCTCACCCGGTGGTTCAGCCCATGCAGGACTTGAGGAGTCCTATGGACACATCCCCCTCTCTTGCTCTCCATGTAGGAGGATACCTACGTTAATGGAGTTTCTATCTTCAGTATCTCAGTGATGTGTTTCAAATACATGGGATTAAATCATATCTAATGCGCTTGTTTCACTTGGTCTGCAAAGACATGAATGACAAGGTTAGATGTTTTCAAAGAGCACATGATATTTACCTACCTAGAGAGCTATTCAGGAGCCAAAACACAGTTGCCTTGTGCCTTTCAGACACCTGAGGGCACCCTGTCCAGCCTCCAGCTGCTGCACTGAAAGGCGGCAGCTCTTCCAGAGGCCATGTGTCCTAAGCAGCCCTGCGCAGGTGGCACAGACATTCCTTGGATACTGAACTAAGCTTCTACCTCCCACCAACTGCCGATGGCAATTAGGTACTTGAATGCTTCCTTGGGGTACTTAGCTTTGGAGAAATGCAAACAAGGATGATGCAGGCCCTGTGAATCTAATATGATGCAAGTTAATAAATTGCATGTCAGTAGGTTGCTCCACATTTAATATGTTAATACATAGCTGTCCTTTGTGCAGGCATGTTATACAATGACTTTGTTGGTCAGTGGAAATAAAAACAAAGCATGATATTCTAGTCAGAATATTAACAGTGTTGGCTAGAAAAGCCTTCTGTTAGCAACCAAGTGCCAAGTTAAGCTGTAAAAAAAGTACACCTGAGTAAGAGGGTTTGTAGTTGATTTTAGTTTGCATGATTTGTGCAGTCAGTAACAATAAGCTATTCCAAAGCTGGGCTATAAAAAGCTCAAAAATGAATTTTAGATAGCTGTGATAAGCTGTGAAACACACACTGTCTTTTCCACTGGGTCTTTACCCAGTGACATGCTGGTTCATCCCGATGAGCCATTCTTCCATTCTTCCTGCCCTTGCTGAAAATGACAAAGTTGTTTTGAGTTTTTACATCCATTGTAGATCATAAGACAGCCTCACTCTGTGTTTTGACAGAATGTGAGAGATATCTTTTCTAATTTAGAAGTAAAGGGTTGTTAGCTTTCACTCAGGGTTGGGTTTTGCTATGTGCATAGGGAATTTTCTGTTAGCAATTTTTACAACCCCTCCTTTGCAGAATGGCCATAAGAAAATAATCAACATCCATCCGGCTCCATTTACTCTGGCATCTACAGGCTCTGTAGACTCCCTCTTCCCCCATCCTCGCAACTTTGAGGGGGGGAAAATGCCTCATCCACATCTAAGCAATCCGTTCATCTGACCTACAGCAAACAGGGTCTGAGCAAATACAGACCATCCTCATCTGCCCAAGGGCATAATGTCACTGAATGCCAGTAGTAAGTAACTTGGGGTGGGGGTCTCATTGAGTGCCATTTCCCTGCATCAGCAGAGATGTGTTGGAGAAGTTCTTGAGGAAGCAGTAACCAGCAGAAGCACCAGCTTTTGGCTGATTTAGTTTGTCAAATGTCTCATTCGCTCCTGCACTGCTGTCTAATGGGATTCCACACTGCATTCAAATATTCTCTGATGCTTGGATGGAGAAGAGGGGAGAAAAGAAAGCGTATAAATAATGCACTGAGGTATTCTTGTCAGCTCTCAGGCTCTTCACGCCCAGTTTGCATATGCTCCAAGTTGTAAGAAAACACTTTGCACAGCAGTGTTGCATTTAGTAGAAATTACATTATAATTTCAGATACGGAAACGTCTATTCCAGGCCTGAGTCAGTGAGATGTCCCATTGGGCTGTGCAGTCATTATCTTAAACAATTGAAATGCATGCTTGCACTTAATCAAAATCAAGGGGAGATGTTACTCCAGCCTCTGCTTGCCGGTTCAGCCCAAAGTGGAACAAGAATATTAAACTAAATTAGAAACTATGCTATTTCCCAGTAATTTCTTTTTGAGCTGGACTTTGACCAGAATGCTTTTTCAGAGGTTGCATATTTGATCCAACACCTCTATCTCTCTTTGTAAAGCAAACTGCACCCAAAGAAACCCCCTTCTCAGAGGAAGGGAGTGTTCATGCATTTCTTCCAGCTCCCTCATGCTGCCAAGCAGCAGCAGAGACTTCAGCTGCCCTGCAGAGGAACTCTGGCAGTGCCAGCAGAGGAGTGGTGCAACAGCCGCTCAGTTGCCCTGATTTATGCCAGGAACTGGCTGAGGCTGGGAAGCAGAGGCTGCAGGGATGGAGCCTGCCTTCCTCTGCTTCCTCCAGCCTGGAGATGAGTGAGAGCTGAGGCTTGAAGCTGGGGACTTGCATCCCTTTCCTTTAGTGTTTCCATTCCAGAGTTCTGTATTTTGGGTACCCGACAGGAATGGTAAGCACCAGTGCAGAAATACCCACTGAGACCTTTCCGAAAATCGCAAGTGTTAAGCTTCTGCCACATTGTTGTTTGCGAGGTGATAAAATACTGCTATTATGTAGCCAGAAGATGGCAGCCTTTATTTCATCCTTGAGCCCTGCTGTGCTATG